TATATTAAAAAATGTAATTTATTTCTGTGATGGCAAAGATGAATTTTCAGTCTTCAGTGTCACATGATCCTTCTGAAATCATTCTAATATGCTGAACTTTTTATTCTTTGAAGAATACTAAAAGAAAATCATGTTTTTATAAAAATGTAACGCAGTAAAAACTTTTCAACACTGGCAGTAATAACAAACGTTTCTTGAGCAGTAAATCAGCATATTAGATTGATTTCTGAAGAATCATGTGACACTGAAGACTGAAGTAATGATGCTGAAAATTTAGCTTTGCATCACAGGAATAAAATAGAAAAGAGTTATTTTAAATTGTAATAATATTTCAGAATATTGCTGTTTTTTTGATCAAATAAATGCAAAACAAAATATTCCAAACTTTTGAATGGATGTAGTCTTGGATATATCTGGATAGAACTTTTGAATATATATAGTCTAGATATAAAACACCACCAGAGGTGAACACATCACTAATTAAGGTTTTACGCTAAAGATTTACGGTCTGTTTTTTAAAACATTATCATAATGTTATATCAGTTTTGGGCCATTAGTGTAAAGCGACAAGTAACACTACTTGATCTTTACGGAAGCTGTAATTTCAGTAGTATGTAGTTTGTACAATGCTTCTATAGAGGTTTGAGTTCAGATGTCAACTAGATTGCATGTGTAAGCAAACAGCAATTACTATGTGTATTTTCAGCCATGCTGAATAAAAAGTGGTTTGCATGATTTTACTCACTTTATGTCAAGTTTATTAAAGCGTGTTTGTTTATCCCTCTGTTCAAATGAATATACACATCGAGATGGTCCTAAATGAAGGTGAACTCAATGCACAGATGACTCTGTATAACACGTTTCATTTACAGGACTTACATTTCTGTGAACAAACATGGACATACTTGCAATTTTTAAGGGTTCATATTGCACAGTAATGCACACTCTGCTGTAACAGCAACTTTGATACAGATAAAATTCAGTAATGGTTCACTTCAGTATGTACTAGTCTAACCGAAGCACTGGTGTGTATTGAAACCTTGTTTGTACGCGTAGCTTTTACCACACTCTGAGCAGCTATATGGCTTTTCTCCGGTGTGGCTTCGGAGGTGTACGTTTAGAGAGCTCTTCTGAGCAAAGCTCTTTCCACACTCCATGCACGAGTACGGCCTCTCACCAGAATGAGTGCGCTGGTGTATTCGGAGGTACGTTTTTTGAGCAAATCTTTTACCACAAACTGTACAGACGAAAGGTTTTTCTCCGGAGTGCGTTCGCATGTGTGCTTTCAGGTAGGTTAGTTTGTTGAAGATTCTTCGACAGAATACACACTCAAACCTTTTCTCTTCTGGAGTGCTTGTGTGGTTGTGTGTACTATGGAAAGTTTGCTGCTCTGTTGTACTGTCTCCATGTGTAGAGATCGTTCCATCAAGAGCTTGTTCTTCAGCTGGTGTCTGGTGCACGTTCGATTGGACTTGGTCATCTGAAGGTACCGTGTATGTGATAAAATCTTCAGCGCTTTGGGCGACACATCTCTCATCACTGGTCATTGCAGGTCCTGCAATTCAACAAATTAATATAATAAAGAGTTAATAGCAACTGTTATAAAGTTCTCCCTCCACAAACCTCTCAAACTGGTACTTTCATCTTCCTCAGGGTTATTTTTCCCAGAGCAGTCTTCAAATGTCTCCTCCTTGATCATGATCATATCTGGTTCTTCATCCAGCAGATCTACTGGCTGAAGGACAGAAAGTAAAAGAGAGAACTAGTTAACTGTATTCTGACACTGATTGATGTATATCAACAGCAGGATGTGAGACCAACCTCTTCTGCGATGACTGGAGAGTCCAGATGTGTGTCCTCCTGCTCACCAACATGTGACTCCTCGTGTCTCCAGAGGTTCATGCACCATTCCTTACCAAAGACATTGTCAATTGCAGGACGACGTCCGGCTTCTGTAAGACATGCCTTGTTTTTGGTTCCGTCATAATGCAAAAACACAAGAAAGACATACAATGTGTAATAAAATAAATTTTGTTGACCTTGTATATACATCACTATCAACACTTCTGCCTGTAACTTTCTAGTAATCCTGCAGACTTTGATTAGCTTGTTCAGGTGTGTTTGATCAGGGTTGGTGCTAAACTCTGCAGAAAAGTGGACCTCGAGGGCCATAGTTGAGATTGGACGCTACAAAAGGGTTACAGTTGTTAGGTTTTTAGGGTAACTTGTGCAGGGTTATTATCCTCCTGAGAACCAGAAAAAAACCTTTGTGAATTTAGAATTGTTCATGTCATTACATTGTTTAGACTTAGAGCATAAGGGGGAAAAAAATAACATTTTTGAAAAATGATATTTTATTCATGTTATGCTATGTCTTCTGTAGAGAACACCGGTACTCAGTTTTTCTAAAAAGTAAAATGACATGAATAAACATAAAAAGGCAAAAACAATGGGATTTAAAAAAAATAACCAATCAATTTTTAGGTTTCAGGTTTTTTTATAACAAACTTTGTACAAGGATGATTCTCAACTATGTTCTAAAAGATATAGCCTAACAAAATTATTTGATATACCGTTTTGCTTTATGCAATATGTCTGTAAAATATCCATAAACTGGTTTTCCCATTAAACTCAATGTTATCTATACACTGTATCTAATTTGCATAGTATTGTGCTGTTGGGACAGCATATTGAAAAAAAGAAGCGTAATAATGTGAGTAATAATTGGCCAGATTTTTCATAATAATATCTAATATTTCATAAGAACGTTGATATATAATTTATTTTCCTATTCAATTGTTTTGTTTCCCAAAATGTGTAATAAACATGCTTTTAGTCCTGGTGTCCTCTACAGTGGACATGTATGAAATGATGTCCTGTTTCATAAGAGGAAGTCATATTTTGATTTGAAACCCCATAACATTTTCCTGAGATGTTGGTTTATGACAAACCATTTGAAAATAAATCAGATTTTAAATGATAATTACAAAATATTATCATATTTCCAAACAGATGTACAATTTTATCACTAAATTAATGTCAGCCATTTTTAAAAACCAAGAAGAGGGAGTGGCCATGGTGAAACATCCAATCATTTGGTATCTCTG